ATAGTCCTTTTAAGAAGTTTCATACTTAATAGGTGTTAAGAAAAGAAGATACTATGCATTGGTAAGTAACTTTTTGCTCTACCAAAAACGACAATTTAAGAACAATTTGTTATGATGAATTAATTTAATAAATTGGATAATAATTTAAATTAATTGTCTATTTAAAATTTTTGACAACCACTGCATTTTTTTTGTGCTTTAAGATCGGACTATCGTAGTCCGTACTTTGGCAATGGGCGGAAAGTCCGGATCTTCGTTTACAGACGTCCTAGGCGTAAACCAAGTATACAATCCTGGAGAGCACTTGCTAATTCTGCACAGAATTCTACTTAAAAAGCAATGAAATGATAAATACTCACCATAATTTTAACAAGAACTCTTGGCTCAAAGATCGGATCGCCAAAAATTTCAGAAAAATGTCGTTTTGTTTTGTACGCTCCGTTGCACGCGTCCTACCACTCGCAACGCTTATCGCGGTATGAAGGGAGGGGCAGAACAAAATGGCGAACAAAACTATGTTGCCAGCCGTGAAAAATGTCGCTTCTTTCGTGCGAAATTATATGTATCTGGTCTTGTGGCACATCCGATCTTAGGCGACCCTACCTTAGAAGACCACAGTAAACTAACAATACAGTTTGTTTTTGTTGTGTTTTTACCGATGAGCAAGGAATCACAAACACCAGATACCTTTACATTTGCAAGTAAAACTGGCATGCAAGTTGTGCCCTTGCATGCCAGTATGACGACCTCCGTGGCCGAGTGGTTTGTACGCCGGGTTTCATGGCGTCGCCGACTCGAGAGGTCCCGGGTTCGAATCCCGTTGGGGGCAGATGTTTGTCTGATGAACACGAGCATTTGTACTCCAGTCATGGATGTTTAATATGTATTTCTATATAAATATACTTATATATGTAAAGTGTATGTATTCTATCCGTTACCCTAGTATCCCATAACACAAGCCTTATAGTGCTTACTTTGGGGCTAGGCTAATTGGTGTGATTGTTGGAAATATTTATTTATTTATATTTAGTATTACCATCGCGTATACACAGGACAGCGTGAGAGTCAGTACCTGCATATTCTTGCGCGCCAAATATGGATAACAATCGAAGTGAATTAAACAAAATCGTGTTGTTACTAGCATTTAATTCAGATTTAATTCTTCTTGTATTTTGCTGTAGGCATTGGCACATGCTATTTTGTTTTTGTAAAGCGAGCTAGTCGGCTTCCAAAGACATGCGTATTCTCTGTACAAAAAAATGAACTGTATAGTTTTCTCATTTTTTTTTAATTTATTGGCAATGGATACATTGTCCTTATGCCTATAGTTTTCTCATCTCCCCCAGTGTTACCAACCCTTACCATAATTTTACCCTAAGTATTTTTTTAATTCCCCTAAAATCCCCTAAATATAGAAAATTATATGTACCTACTTATCTTATTATCTAAATTCTTTCGTTGCTCATAAATTAAAACGTTACATATTCTTTTACAGTAAATTATTTTATTGAATAAATACATTTTCCGAATGGAAAGTCATTTTTTTTAGTTCTATTCTTCTCTATTGAGAAAGGCAAAGGCATAGCCATGCAGCCATCGTCTTATTTTTGTATTAATCTTCCTTTTTTTTACATTCGAATGTGGGTGTGACGCATTCTAATGCTTCTTGGAGTGTTTGGCACGAAATATATCGAGTTGGCTTTTTCGATAAGCTTCTGTGAGGTAGTCAATACTACAATAAAATTCTCACGTCCACTTGACCGGAATAGCGTATATTTGAAGATTCCACTAATGCATCAGTTGCGCAGACGGTTGTAACACAAAATCACACCAATTTTATTTCACAATATCCACTATGAACAAATTTAAGAATAATTAAAATAAGACGCCAACCGCACTCGATGAAATCCCGCCAAAAAAAAAACATGGAAAATCAAACGAAAATGAGCTGACAAGCGGTTAAATCTTATTTAGCTGTTTTGATTGGTGGAAGGCAAAGAACTTTAGTCCATACAGCCTTAGGAAACAACCTGCCACACAGTGAGTTCAGTCGTTTCATATCGTGCTGCGTTCCATTCTACGCACAAAACTGAAAGAAAACACACGCTTTGGTTTTCGATTTAATTTAAAGTTTTGTTAAAAGCCCCTAAAAGAACCCCCAAAAAATTCCAGCCCCTAAAAAAGTCACTTTTAACACTTCTAGCCCCTAAATCTGGGGGCAACACCCCTAAGTTGGGAACCCTGATCTCCCCATCGTCCCATGTTGAATACAAAAACCAAAAAAAAAAAAACTTGAAAAAACTTGACCTCCGGAATCAAAACAAAAACCTGCGCCTACGGCCAAAACGAGTCGGCTACTGGTATGCCCGTAGCTGTCGCGTCTGTTCACACATGCCAGGTTAGCATCCCCCCGCGTCCCCTCCCTCAACGGGCATGCAAGTAAATCAAATGTTGTGCTAGCTGCATGCATGCCAGTATTACAGGCATGCCAGTTAGCGTATACACATGACAGTAGCTGGCACGTGCAAGGAGCTGGTATGCTAGTGTGCAAGCTACGGCTATGTGTATGTATCCCCAGCTTTACAGCAGTGTGCCAGTTACTCTTACATGCCAGTTACTTTCATGCCAGCTACTTTCCCGATTTACTGGTATGTGTATCCCCAGCCTTATTTGTAAAAGAATCGAGAAGTCAATATTGGTGATGCCATTGTCGTTCTTGCTGTTAATAATCTTTCTATGTTCCTAATAAACATGATATGTTCGTCGAATAATACTAACTGCCTCCTCAGTCTGATCATTTTGTCGTACTGCTTTATGGTGTAAGCGATGTGCTGGGCCGTCATCGGATCGTCTCCTATGAATATACCGGCCTGGAAGTATATTTATTCTGTAGTATCTAGTTATTAGTGCTATAGGAATAAACCACGAAAGGATTATACACATAGGAATAGATGTTATGGAATCAAAATCGAGAATGAAAATTTTTAATAGAAAAAGTCAGCTGTGGCAGCTTGTCACCTGTGGGCCAATTGCCTAAGGGGATTGCTATCGCTATCGCTTAAGATTTCTTTTTGTCATTTCTGACCGCCTAAGGTTTTCGAATATCTCACGCTCATTTTCTTAGTATTGTTATTTCCAATGCAAAAGAAAAAAAACAGCGCGAGGCATTTGGAAAGCTTCGGCGGTCAGAAATAACAATAGGAAATCGTAAGCGATAGCGATAGCCAGAGCCATCCCGTTAGGAGGTGGTGATGGAAGTGATAATAACCGAGCTACTTAGTGATCTACTACTGCTTTATTATAACGCTACTAAGATACTTGTTCCGGAAACCATCGATGGATATGCAATTTCCTCTGGAGTTATACACTGTAAATGTCAAAAAAGTTGGCGAATAGGCAGGCTGGACCGAGTGGATTTTTTCTAGTATAATTTATTCACCATTATCATCAGCCTATTAATGTCCCCACTGCTGGGGCACAGGCCTTCCCTATGGATGGAATAGGGAGATTGGGCCATGTCCCACCACGCGGGCCCAGTGCGGATTGGTGGGTGCTAAAGACTACAGATGCAGCCAGGACCAACGGCTTAACGTGCCTTCCGAAGCACGGAGGGGCTTGAGATAGTAAATTTTGGGTCACCCATCCAATGACCGACCACTGCGAAAGTTGCTTAACTTCGACGATCGCAGCCGAACGCGCTAACCGCTTGTGCCATCGAGCTCCTCCAATAATTTATTAATACCTTAAAATGTTTGATAAACTAACATTCATGATCTCATCGGGGAACTGGTTCATAATTTCCTGGACGTCGTGCCGTTTGTCCGCGCTGAACATCACCAGCACGTGGGGTGGTAGGTATTCAGACTCGATCGGCACAATCTCTTGCACTATCTAAATAATTTTTATTCGTGTGCAAAAAGTGGCAATTCAGTATGTACCGCGTGATTGTAAGCGATCATCGTTGTCTAAAATTCTGAAAACTCTGCTTTATTATAGACGATTCTGAAGCTGTAAAGCACCTCGATCAATTCAATTATTAAACTCCTGCTACCTACATACATATTTCCTTGGAAAATTCTGATATCTAACGACGACCTCCGTGGCTGAGTGGTTTGTACGCCAGGTTTCATGGCGTCGCCGACGGGTTCGAATCCCGGTGGAGGCAGATGTTTGTGTGATGAACACGAGCATTTGTACTCCAGTCATGGATATTTAATATGTATTTCTATATGAATATACTCATATATGTTAAGTATATGTATTGTAGCCGTTACCCTAGTATCCCATAACACAAGCCTTATAGTGCTTACTTTGGGGCTAGGCTAATTGGTGTGTGTTGGAAATATTTATTTACTTATCTAAAGTAACCAGGCAGAATCATATGAACCTGCGACCTTTCGCAATTGTATTGTTGCTTTATTGCATATAAAATGCAAAGACATCACACGAAAAAAGTAGTGCTTCATGATTTGTCAACAAAAAGAAATTGAAAGAAGTTCTGAAATCGGATATATATTCGGAGATTTACTTGCTCAAACTTGACTTTTATTTATAAATATGAGGTGTTTATGTGTAGGTGCACTTATCTAAGTAGAAACACTAAGCAGGATACCAAATTATACTTGTGCAGTTTTGGTAGAATAAAATGAAATCCTATAGCGACTGGGAGATATCCAACCATTGTGATGACATCTAACATGCCCAGAGGAAATCAAATCGCTTCTGCTAGAAACGTTTTGAGATTTTTTGAAGCTGTCGGGCAGGAGATACGTTAAGAATAGATCTTTAGCAGTGACTAGGACGACAGTCCCATTAGGACTGCATTGCATGGCCCTAAAAATTTGAAATAATAATAATAACCTTCGGGAAGAAATAAGCTAGTCCGTTAGCCTTCGCGAGCTCATTGGGCGGCGAGTAGAGTCCTGGCACGAACAGTCCCCCCGGGGGAATATACTCCTCTCCCTCCACGGACACGTCAGAATGGAATACCTCTTCCTCGTCTACCTTCTCCTCTTCCAGATCTTCTTGCTGAACGGAACAAACAAAATTTTCGCTACAAGATAAAAACATTAAGGAATACTTTATTATTCAGTAAGTTTGCTAAATAAGGGAATTATACCTATGTATATATAAATATATATAATATATATCAGCCTTTATATATATATATATATATATATATATATATATATATATATTTATTTAGAGGCTTGTGACTCACTCTTTATTTAATTTGGTGTAATGTCGATGTGGTGACCTAGGTAGGTGGTCTGTTCGTAACCTTTTATTAGTTATTACATAATCTTCTATATTATTTTTATAAAAATCAATTGCTGTTCGTTAGTCTCGCTAAAACTCGAGAACGGCTGGGCCGATTTAGCTGATTTTGGTTTTAAAATATTTGTCGAAGTCCAGGAAAATTTAAACGGTGATAAAACATGGAAAAATTGCGAGGAAGATAGAGAAAACGTCAATTTAATTTTCCCATATAAACTGTTCTATTTTCTTTCCTGTATTATATCTGTGTATCATTTGACGTTCGTCCCTTTTGGTAAGCTAGACTCGGGTCCGTCATTTCTTCCAAATTATTTTAACCCGTACAAAGTACGCGGGGTCAACTAGTAGTTAATAATTATATTCAAGTTGTGTTTCCTGATGTGACTTTAACAAATTTAATCGTTTCTTAATTGATTTATTAAAAAGGCAATACATTAGTATCCAATTTAAAGTAGAGTATTCTTTTTATCAGAAATCATAATGAGATAAGTAAATTAAGCTATTACTACAGTGTGAAATCGAGTATGATATATTTTAAAAAGTCTAAAATATTTACTCACTGCCTCTTCTGTGGCTTCGGTTTCTTTCTCAATTTCTTCCTCTTCCACTTCTTCTCCTGTCTCTTGTGGCTCTGGTTCTGCTGGCAACTACCAAGTAAAATCAACACGCTATATTATAATACAGGAGTTTTACCATATTTTCCGCTTGAATTGGGGCGCCCGTCTGGGGAAGTAACCTCCACCTTACAGGAGACCACAGTAAAATAACACTTGCTTTTGGTGATATTGTGTTTCTGTGGGTGAGTAAGGTTCCAGGGCTCCACGGTTAAGGGGATTGGGTCAGGTAACAGCGCGAGTGATATTTTTGGTATCGCAAGCGTCCATTTATAGGCTGTAGGCGAGTCGACGGCTTGTTTGCCACCCTTTTAACATAAAAAAATACGCGTTTTTACATCATTTGACAATGACCATCAATACGCGATAGGATTTTGGCGATTTATTTATTATACAACTAATATAATAAGATAATGGAGTTTCACAGTTGAGTGGGGAGACGCCATCCGCCTGGAATATCTCTAGAGGCACTCGCCAATTCTCGGCTCTAGGTCCCTTTAGGATCTCGCCGTCCCCAAACCCGGTGACGCTGTAAAGGTCATCTCCGACCAACAGCATACACACTCAAAAAAAAATCGCTTCGCCAAAAGTTTGGGCCGGGCAGTTAGCTACCTTGCCATTACCCGGATCTACCAGGTTATTTAAACTATTTGTCTAGTGGTCACCCGCGACTTCTTCCGCTTTAATTTTGGTTTTTGAGAATCCCACAGGAACCTAAATTTTTTCCGGGGTAAAAAGTAGCCTATGTCTCAATCCAGGTCATAAACTATATGCGTACCAAATTTCACCCCAATCCGTTCAGTGGTGTTTGCTTAATTGAGTAACAAACATATAGATTGTCACATTTGCAATATCTGTAGAAAATTATGTTATCAAGAATTGGATTAATTGAAAATTAATATAATTACTTAGATAAAATTCTATACGTTTCGAGCAATATCCACAACTTCCCATTCGCTATTAAAACCATATGATAACATGGTTTAAAATCGACTGAAATTTATAAGTCCACATCACTATTATTCGAGTGTATTGATTTTGAGAAGGGTGCGGGTTCGAGTCCCGTCTGCTGCCTGGACCGCGTGGATTTGTTTCTATTGAAATTTTATTTAGATTAAACATTTAGCAGTTAAATACATAAAAAAATAAAAATATAATAAAAGTATTGTTTTTTGAACAATGTAGATAGAAACTCACGCCTGCTTGGATTCTGGCCATACGCTCCTCCTCTTCGCGTTGTTTCTCTAATCTCTGCCTTTCTTCCTCTTCTTCTTTGGCCAGTCGAGCCATTTCAGCTGCAAAGCGCTCCTTCTCTTCTCGTTCTTCTTTCTAGAAGATATTAATGAAGAATTATAAATAAATTTTAATGTTTATTTGAAGTTAGGCTACTTTCGCAGAGGTCGATCATTGGATGGGTGACCAAAAATATACTATCTCGAGTTCCTCCATGCTTCGGAAGGCACGTTAAGCCGTTGGTACCGGCTGCATCTGCAGTCGTTAGCACCCACCAATCCACACTGGGCTCGCGTGGTGGGTCATGATACAATCTCCCTATTCTATCCATAGGGAAGGTCTGTGCCCCAGCAGTGGGGACATTAATAGGCTTGATGATTAAATTGATTTTAACAAAAAAATAAAATATTTTGAAAAGGATAGTCATAGTAGTGTTTTCACGCGGTTAGACACAACTGCAATTGTCGCTTTGTCCTATTTGCTATGTTCTTATTGTTTGTTTGTTTACACTTAAAATTTTATTGATATCATTTTAGTGTAGCGTTAAAATCTGCAACGCCCAAAAGTTTATGTATAACACTATCACACTTTCAGCCAAGAAATCAGCCTACCTAATTTTTAACTTAGAAATTTCACGACTTCTTTCAAAGCTCGTAAAGAAAATTGTCATTGTTTAACTAAACCTATCATCAACTTATCCTTTTTTCATCCATAAAATAAAAAGGATCAAGGAAGGAAAAAAGTTACATAACAATTGGACTGCCGATCATGTAAATTATGGAATGAACTCCCCCCCCCTCCACGGTGTTCCCCCAGCACTCTAACATAGTCCGCTTCAGAGTGTTCCACCAAAGGCAGTGGCATGGCTGTGTCACTGGCATTGCTCATGTCCGTGGATGACGGTAACCATTTAACACCAGGCCCGTCGGCTCGTATGCCTTCGCAGGCAATAAAAAAAGGTGTTTGTATCAAAAGTCTCACAAGTTTCTGCATCCTGGCCTCGTAGCGGTCGCGGCGCACCTCCCTGGCAGTCTTGCTGATGCTGGCGTATCGTTTGTACGCCGGAATCGGGGGCAGTTGCTTCTCCGGGGGCACATCCTCCTTAGGCACCGGGATTTCTTCGTATAGGGCGTACCGCATCAGCTCTGACCAGTAATTTGGTAAAGATCTATCTACATAGCAGCGTCTCAAGTGGAATTAGCAGAGAGAAACAGGCGTCGTATGGCATGGTCCTTACACATAATCTTTGTCGGTTTTTGCGGCTTCTGTCATCGTTATCATCAGCATGTCATTAGCCTATCAATGTTCCCACTGCAGGGGCACAGGCCTTTCCTATGGATGAAATAGGCAGATTGGGCCGTGACCCACCACGCAGGCCCATTGCGGATTGATGAGTGCTAACAACTGCAAGAGCAGGCGGGACCAATGACTTAAAGTGCCTTCCAAAGCACGGGGGAGCTCGAGATAATAAGTTTTTGGTTATCCATCCAATGACTGACCATTGCGAAAGTTGCTTAACTAAAGTTGATCGCAGGCCAAACGCGCTAACAACCTGCGCCATCAAGTTCCTTCCTCGATTATCTCATCACCTACATTTAAATTGTAAAGTATGTAGAGTCCAAGTCCAGATTCTTGAATAGCACGACCAGCGCTTTAAATGTGAGGATTTCTTTCATAGTACTTACTGACAAAGGCCTATGTGTCGAGACCAACATTTTGATCAGCACAACCACACCTGCCGTTTGAGCAACGAGAGTTAGCACGCCTAGTTGCTCATGTTACTCGATCAATATGTGTACCAAGATTCATTTTATAGGCGAGGATTTGTTTCGTAGTACTTACTGACAAAATCCCTAGTGTCGGAGTCCAGCATTTTGAAAAGCACGACCAACACCTCCCCATTAAGCAACGAGTGCAGGCACGCCTCGTTGGGAAGCACGTCACTCATGTATAGCGCCTCTTTTGCGCCATCTTCCGTCAGTTGAAGAACCTCCTTCGCCGCCACGGATAGGTCTGTCCAAAATCACTATTATTTTAAATGTCTTCTTCTGTCCAAAAGTTACTTTTAACAGACCACTGTCAAACAGCTTATAAAATGCGTGATCACAACCGCTCGCTGTACTTCAACATTTCTAAAAGTGTCTACACACGTCCCTTAAATCAGAGGCGATATCGGGAGAGGCGAAATCGGATGATGGTGGGGATGAAATCGGCTACTACTCTACACACGACCCTGCCAATCAGTACGTAGCCCACCGTGCAACATAACGCTTGTCGATCCAAGATGCCGCCCACACTTTCAAAACAACAAAAAATAGGCATCGCTCTGGCACTTATTACGGTGCGACCAAAACAAAAACTAAAGAGGAAGACTTGGGTTAAGAGGTGGTTGATGAAACGCCATGAATTCAGTCATATCTGGTAATAGAGACTTAGATGTAGCTCTAAAAGACCTGCAAGATGAATTCACCTTACTTTCCAAATGGTCCCATGATGTTGGTCTAGTTCTAAACTATGAAAAAACTAAGCTCATGTACATTAGCAGTAGTCATAACAGGAATTATAAGGATATTAAACTGATAGCCCATAATCACAAGTGCTTACATACGAATAATCACAAATGTCTGTGTAATCCCATTGAAATCGTGAATAAACAGAAATATCTAGGATTAATAATAGATGATAGATTGAAATGGGTCGATCATATTCATTATGTATGTGACAAATTGCGAGCAATACTATCTAAATTTGTATTAGTCAGAAACAAAATTCCATATTCCATACTTTTGCAACTATATAAGGCATTGGGAGAAACGATTATAAGCTATGGGATAAGTAGCTATGGAAGAACTGTAAAATCACATTTGGACCTTATATACAATATACAAGTTAGAATTTTAAAAGCCATAGTTCCTAATAAAATTAAAATTAAATTCAAAAACAATATAAATGAACTCTTCTACCACTGTAACGTTTTGCCTGTACACGATCAAGTCAAATCTAATCTGATCTCAGAAAACTATTTTAATGAAAACTTTCGTATTATAAAGCAGCACAGTAAGCAAACCCGTAGTGCATCAGCCATTACATCCAATATCCCAAGATACAATAATCATTATGGTAGGCAATTATTACAGTTTCAGATACCCAAGTTAATTAACGAATTACCAATATATGTAAAAAATGAAATTAGTGAAATTAATATTAAGAACGTACTAAAAGGATATTATTGCTCACAGTTATTAAATCAAGAATAACATATTTAATATAGTAAAATTTAATGTTTTTCAACACCATAATAGAGTAACAGTATTTAGTAAAATCTGATGGGGAACCCGCCCGTGTGAATAAACTCATTGCTTTGTTCGGGGTGACCGCCGACAACTCGTAGAAAGAGGGTAGATGCAGATGCGAAAAAAAAGATCTAAAAGATGACGAATCCCAGTGCTCAGTAAAACCTACACAGGTTTTTGTAGCACTGGCTAAATGTATTGTTATTATTTATAGTAATGTGAAATACAATAAATAAAAAAAAAAATATGAACGTTATGAGACATTTAGAACCAGTTGATTTGAAAAACTTTTTAAGAATGGATATTCAATGTTTTGAAGAGCTACTGAATTTGGTGACACCATTAATACAAAAACAAAATACCTTAATGTGAGAATCCATAAGTCCAAGAGAACAACTTATAGTTTGTTATCCCATAAATACGCCAACTCTTTATAAATATCTATGGTTTTCGTCCAGGCCTCTCGCTCCTTTTCTTTCGCCATACCTCCGCACGAATAAAAAGGAAATAAAACCAACACGGGTCCTCTTCGCACTACGCTCGCACGAGCACTGCGTTGAAATCGAACCCGATTTCGCTACACACGCACTGACAAGGCTCCCTAGATGATAATCGGCCCTAAATTGTGAGCTCGCCCGATCCAATTTCTGAGTTAGGGGTAATAATAATAATGATGATTACGATTTGCCTACACACGAGGCGGTCTAGGGAGCGATTTAGGGTGCTCCCCACCACTTTCCCGAGATTGCCTCTGATTTAAGGGACGTGTGTAGACACTTTAAGAGAATTTTGTTTTCAATATCGGTTTAAAAGCCCTCCCGAACGAGGCAGCTTCTCGTAAGTTATGTTTAGGAGAGGCCCTTTCCGCTAGGAGGAATTTTTCCCTTGACATTAAATCTACAAACGCATCCGCCGAAACTTGCTCATATCGCATCAGAGTTTTTTCTTCAATATTTTAAAATTACTAGTAGACTCGCATTCAAATCTGTCCATTCGTTTAGGAGCTTCGATGCCACAGACAGACATACCGATACACAGATACGTCAATCTTGTAACACCCCTCACCCTTCTTTTTCCGCAGGGGTTAAAAACGTGTAGTAGAATGTATGCAAGCAGAGCTGAAGACCGAGCTCAATGGCTTGCCATGGGAGAGGCCTATTTCCAGCAGTGGACTGATGCGGCTAATGATGATGATGTACGTCAAGTAAAATAAGTTGGATATAGGGATTGTTCAAAGTGTTCTAAACAACTCCGAATCAGAAGCCGCCAGTGGCGTAGCATGGGGGGGGCGGGGGCGGGGGGTGCGGTCCGCACCGGGCGGCACTTTGCCGGGGGCGGCGCTGCGGAGGTGGCAGATAGAGAAAAAAAATTGAAATATAAAAAAAAGTTCATTTCTTTCAGTTTTTTTTCGTCATTTTTTCGTTGTTGTTACCAAATACCCAGGTACCTATGCAGGTTCTATGCATCTATACGTTTTCTCTGTAATTTTTCTAAGTGATATTGTGATAGTCTACCTTCTACTCTATGTCAAAAAATGTTAATTTCACTCTTAGGTTAGTGTTATTCAATAAAAGTACTCTTTTTACCATGCCTCAATTTTTTTATAATGGATTGCAAAAATAAGAGGGCGGCAAATTTGGAATCCGCACCGGGTGCTGGTGACCTATGCTACGCCACTGGAAGCCGCATTGTACTTGTGTAGTTTAGTGGAATGCTGCCAGTAAATTACACAAGTACGAAATGTAATAATTTTACATTTCTCAATTAAGTAGTTCAGTACTCGTTCGTTTGTTTCGATGGAGCTGTCATGTCATCGGACAAAAGATCCTAAACAAAAAAGATAAAAAAAAAATACTTCAAGTAAATAAAATATAAATAAATAAATAAATATTTCCGACACTCACACCAATTAGCCTAGCCCCAAAGTAAGCACTATAAGGCTTGTGTTATGGGATGCTAGGGTAACGGATAGAATACATATACTGTACATATATAAGTATATTTATATAAATACATATTAAACATCCATGACTGGAGTACAAATGCTCGTATTCATCACACAAACATCTGCCCCCACCGGGATTCGAACCCGGGACCTCTCGAGTCGGCGACAGCCATGAAACCCGGCGTACAAACCACTTGGCCACGGAGGTCGTCGTCGAGAGGAAGTGGTTTCATTTATTTAGTCAAGTATACTGACTAAGCATATCCCATTTCTCGTAGAGGTCATAGTGCGCCTTGTGGCAGTGTGGCCAGAACAGGATGAAGTTGAGCCGGCGCAGGTGTCGCGCCATGCGCTCGTTAACGCGCCATTTGCGCGCCGACAGCGTGAGCACGCGCAGCCTCTCCATTTGTTCTCTGCTCTCTTCTTCCACTTTGAAGATTTCTTCCATTTTAGCCTGTTATTATTTTGATCTAACGAGTTACATTATAGTTATGTTTTTATTTATTTTTAAGCATTTAACTGCTAGATGTTTAAATATAAAGAAAAGTTTACTAAAAAAAAATCCACGCGGACCAGGCAGCGGACGGGACTCGAACCCGCACCCTTCTCAATACGGACGAATGCACTGACCATTATGCTACCACGGCCCTATTCGCCGCGTCGAAATTTTCCTAGCCTTAAGCTGCAAGGCAGCGCCATCTCTTCGCATTGTAGCATTGATTTTTTTCTAGTAAACTTTTCTTTCATCATCATCATCAGCCTATTAATGTCCTCACTGCTGGGGCACAGGCCTTCCCTATGGATCGAATAGGGAGATTGGGCCATGAACCACCGCGCGGGCCCCGTGCGGATTGGTGGGTGCTAACGACTGCAGATGCAGCTGGGACCAACGGCTTAATGTGCCTTCCGAAGCACGGAGAAGCTCGAGATAGTCAATTTTTGATCACCCATCCAATGAGCGACCACTGCGAAAGTTGCTTAACTTCAACGATCGCAGCCGAACGCGCTAACCACTTGTGCCATCGAGCTCCTCAAAACTTTTCTTTTGAGTTATATTATTATAATGCGACGATAAAGGCAACTTATCAACGTCCGGGGCGGTATTTGGCCTGGTACTGTGATATGGTCACCAACTATTGGTACAAAAGAGAGGTTATTTTTAATTTGTAAGCGAACTGCTGCCGTTAAATTGTATTGCGGTTTGGCAGACTATTCTTCAGTTAATCGTGAAAATTGCAGTTCGTAGGATCGTAGGTAATACTTTCGAAGTACTAACAGCTTCCTCCGGCAGCATCTCTGCAATCTCCCGCTTGGGCCTGGCAATGCCTGTGTCTTTCTCCTTCTGCATTAGATGTAGTTCCTCTTCTATTATGCGGCATAGTTCGATGCCGTTAGCACCAAACATGGCACGCGACAACATACCGTTCTGCGGAAGTGGTTTCATTTATTTAATACTGTACTAAAATACCTACATGATTTCATGCCATATTGTCGTGGGGTTACTAAGATAATTGTAACGATACAGCATTATGTAAGATGCTTAGAAATATACTTCAGTTCGTGTAAGTGTGGACTTTTGTGCGTCCGTTTTTAGGGTTTTGCATCTAAAGGATAAAAACGAAATCCTATTGCTGTCACTCGGTCGTCTGTCTGTCTGTCTTTATGTCAAGGGACCCTAAAACATTTTTTTTACTGTTAAATAGATATGTTTAATAGTACTTTCCACTAATTAAGAAGTTAAATTAAATTAGTTAAATGTAAATACTAATCAATCATTGTTTCCAAATAAGAATGCATTTATGCAACTTTAAATTTCACTTTTCAATCTAACAGCCACACTTCAACTATGCATATTTAGGGCTCCCACAGAAAACTGCGATGCGACGTCGCATCGCTGGAACTTGCGATGAGAATTGCTGCGATACGATTTTGTGCGGCAAAGCTTTGGTCTCAAAGTTTGATCATACCTTTAACGGTAGTCAGCCGTATTGAACGTGTTTTAGTAATAGTGACTGCTGTTATTGTTAAATAGGTGTAGAAGAAAAACAACATTTTGGGTTCGTCCATTTATTACGATATTGAACGCTGATGGGAACTATTTGACTCGACAATATCATGGAACAGAATAAGGTAATTTTTTTTGATTATATTCGAATGAGCATGAGCATTTGATGAACTTTTGAGTTTATTATCACCATGTTTACAAAAACGATCGTCAGAGCTCTCAGAGCTAACCAAAATAGCGTCACCAAGTGTGACGTAATATCGCAAGATTGCGCGATGCTAATTGGATCGGAAGATTTTGCGGTGCATTCGTGCGAGCACGCAGATATTTGCGATGCGATGCGAATTCGCAGTTGTAAGCGAGCACTTAATGTACACCAGAACATAAGATGTAGTCCAATATGAGCAGGAATTTGGTAATCAACTTTTATACCACTTAGGTGGTAAAAAAGCATATGGATCGCGTGATGGTAACTATTTCTATGAACGCAGCCTATGGAGGCTTGCAATATGCATAATTCATACGTCGCCGACCCTATAAAGCTTTTCATTCCCTTTATGAAGAATACTGTAGTCTGGAGGGAAAACCGTGGCAGGAAGTATCTCACAAAACCTACGTGCGAGGTAGGAAGCGTATTTGAAACTACACTATATGGAAAGTTGAAATTTCCGTCGAAGGCGATCAGTGATTATATGTATAAAGAAATTTAATTAAGTCTATATATTGTTTTAAACTTTCAGGGTCACTAACATTATAACTATTAACGGGATTGTTACCGTGAACCTTGTTTTTTATGAGTCGCCGATATTTCGGCACTGTTGCAAGCGCCATGATCACGGAGTAACTCCGTGACAATCCCGTTAATAGCTTTAATTAAGTCATTGAAACTAACCACAATGAAGAGGAAGGCCGGCTCACTTTTACCTTTGAACCTCTCAAGCGCTTCTATGTTATCTGCCAACGCCTGAAATGCGATATTTGTGTGTAAAGCACTCAACTATATTTTTAACGCGAACAATAAAAATATTAATGTTACTTTATTCAATAATTAGTTATCTACCCTTGCCATTGCGATGTTATCCTGACCTATTTCCAATTTTCCTTTTCTGATAGCGTTGGCAGTTGCCAAACAGGGTCCACAAAATTCTGAATACACCTCCATGCCTAAAACGCGTTCAATATACGTTTCACTTATTTAAATACGTAATTATAAAAATGTAAATTATAGCTGAAGTGACCAACGACTAGAAATCAGCAAGTCATAACTCATTTCTTAAAACAACGGTTCATCCAAACGAAGTATAAAAAATATATTAATCGCGTTTTTGAAATGCTTTGAAACGAGTTATTTGCTTAACTTGCCAATTACTGATTTCTTGCAGTATGCTTAAAGAAGTTATGTATCAGAAACCAACCAGAATCTTTTCTTTTTATTGGTTTTCTAAGTCACACATTGATTATACATAAAAATATCTGCCAAACTATTACAATAGTTTGGCGGCAGAGGTCCCGTGGATAATGATTAATTACAAATGACTTACAATCTGTTACTTATGTTAAACAAAAGTCAGTAATTACTATTATAAAAATACATCATATTTATACTCTGCAAACCTTTATATATAAATAATAATTTATATGAGAGATTTCTGTGATATTCTCAAAAAAAACTCTTGTTTACGCGGCCGAAGGCTGTTAATAAATCACGCAAAAATGGCTGAACGGATTTTGATGAAAACCGGCACTCATATAGTTTATGATCTATAATCTATGAAACCTAATAAGGCCTTAACCCCATAGGCGCGTTATTATCAGTTGATAATATCGGATGCGTTATTCCGATAATGCGCCCACTTCTATTGCGTCGTTATTATCGCAGCAGTTCCAATACATAATGAATTTGTAATAACGCATTCGATAATATTGACCGATGACAACTCGCCTATCAGGAGAAGGCTTTAATGTCTATTGAAAAATGAACAATTCAGACAACACTTAAAAAAATACAACAGGATAACAGGGTAGCAAAAGTTTAGAGGATTGAGTGCTATTGGTGTAATAGTCCAGTCAATGAAGGCTTAACTTTGGCATTTTGAGTTGATCACCTGCAATCAACGCGAAAATTTCCGCAAGGGTTCGTAGATTAATATACTAAAATTGCAGGGTGCTGCATTGACGGCAAAGGGTGAAAAAAAAATGCGAAATGGTGCAAAAACGAGTTTTTCGTCAATATCTCGCGACTGGCTGGAAAAATAGAAAAAGTTTGTAACACAAAGTTGTAGAAAATTTAATTTCCTACAAAAAAGGTATCAACTTATTTTCGCGTATCTCCCATAGTTTTTACACAAAATGCAATTAAAGGTGCATAAAGCGTTGTTGGGTGAAGATAGATAATGTTCGCTTAGTACTTATCTGCGGTGCAGTCGGGAGGCGGTGTAAACAATAATCCAGCACTTCACAGTTAATAGTTTATTGCACAAGCACAGAGGAAAGTATATATAATAGAAGGAGTACAGAGCACAGTCAGTGATAAACAAGCACAAAAGTATAAAGGAAAAGCACAGACAAAGCAACATAAACAATAATACAGTTGACTACAACTACGAGTGTCGGGGCTATAAAGCGAGGAGCAATTGATCGTGCGTACGGTACAGAGTATAGGTTCCGACTGTCGTGCAACGTGACCTCTGCGCGTGAGCCGGCCGGTTTGCCGAACAATAGGCGGTGGAGCGAGTGCGCGTGTCCATTCGCCATACGAGTTTCGTAGATCAACTGATGCACGGCACGATAGTGATATTGTTTGTGAATAAATGTATGTGCTTGTGATGATTGTGTATGAATGTAAATAATAAATGTTATTTTGTATAAATGTAAATATATTTGGTTTTAATATTTAATGTTTTATATTTATTTGTAGTTATAAATTGTAAATACATATTATATAATATTTTATATATTTCAAAATACTTATATAACATCTATAGATAAGATTGTGGGAGAACCCCACATAACCCCCCTTCAGAGACCTGGTTAGGGTCGATAGTAATCTGGGAAACGGACGTGTCTCCCAGAGCGTGTGGTTTTTTGAGGCTGGGTTACAGCGGGTGTGTGTGTATTGTGTGTATATGTATTAGTGGTGTTTGGAGGAGTGTTTGTGTGTGTGTCATGTATTAGGTCTTCCTCGTCTGTAAGCGTGAATGCTGGTTTTAAGAGGTCGATGCTCACGGTGACGGGATTACCTTTGACAAGAAGTTTGAATACCTTGTCGTTTCTTTCTAAAACCTTATGAGGTCCAGAGTAGGCAGGTTGGAAAGTCACGCGTGAAGCATCTTCTCGCAGAAAGACATAATCGGCAGCGGCTAATTCTTTAAAGACAAACACCTTGTGATTGCCATGGCGAGATGCTGGAACAGGGATTAGTTTTTCGGCGTACGAACGTAACCGAGCCGTAAAATCTGACAAGTCAGATGTGCCAGGTGTGTTCGGATGGAAAAATTCACCGGGAAGACGTAATGGTTCGCCGTATAGCAACTCAGCCGTAGAAGATTTTAAATCCTCTTTGAAGGCGGTACGGATGCCAAGCAGTACCAGTGGTAACACCTCGATCCAATTTTGTTGGGCATGGCAGGTAATGGAGGCCTTCAACTGCCTGTGAAAGCGTTCCACGAGACCGTTACATGCCGGGTGGTAAGCGGTGGTGCGTTTGTGGTGGAATCCTAGGGTTTTTGCTAGATATTGAAACAGTGCGGACTCAAATTGTGCGCCGCGATCTGTAACAATATCTATAGGGCAACCAAAACGAGATATCCAACCAGATATTAACGCCTTTGCGACTGTTTCGGCTGTTATGTCAGTCAATGGCATGACTTCCGGCCACCGTGTGAATCGGTCGATAGCCGTCAGACAATATCTGTATCCTTGACAGATGGGTAAGGGACCGATAAGGTCGATATGGACATGTTTGAACCGCGCGCGAGGCAGGTCGAAAGTACCTAAAGGTGCAGATACATGTTGACTGACCTTTGCACGCTGGCACGACGAACAGGTACGAACCCACTCGCGACAGTCTTTTCTCACACCGGGCCATATGAATCTGTCGGCAACGAGCCGTGCAGTGGCTGTGGCACCGGGGTGGCTAAGTGAGTGGAGGCTTTCAAATACCTGTCTGCGCAATCCTTTGGTGATGAATGGCCTGGGAGTCGGTGTACTGATGTCACAGTACAGAGGAGTTTGACAACCAGGGTATTGCATCTTCTCGAGACGGAGTGATGAAGGGTCTGACAGATATTGGGCCAGTTCTGTGTCGGATTCTTGAGCTTGGGCGAGGCTGGCAAGGGAAATCGGTGTGGCCAGTTCATCAACGCGAGATAAGGTGTCGGCAACGACGTTGTTTTTGCCGGAGATATGCCTTATGTCGGTTGTGAACTGGGATATGTAGTCCAGATGACGGAACTGCCTAGGCGAATAATTACGCTTCCGCTCATGGAAGGCGTAACAAATCGGCTTATGGTCCGTGTACACTACGAAATGCCTTGCCTCAAGCATATGCCGGAAGTATTTGATGGACTCGTAGATCGCAAGAAGTTCACGATCGTACGGTGAATACTTCTGCTGAGCTGGGTTGAGTTTCCGGGAGAAAAAGGCTAGGGGTTCCCATACCTCACCTTTTTGCTGCTGAAGGACGGCTCCTATAGCCAGGTCTGATGCGTCTGTAACCAATGCCAGCTGGGCTCGACAATCTGGATGTGCCAAGAGAGCTGCATTGGAGAGGCTTTCTTTAGTATCTGAAAAAGCCTTCAGAGCATCGTCATCTAGGGTGATGGGTGTGGAACCTTTTACTGCCCCCATGAGCAAGCTATTCAAAGGTCCTTGGATTTGAGCGGCGTTGGGCAAAAATCGCCTATAAAAATTGGCCATACCCAAAAACCGTCTGAGAGACCTGACGTCTTTTGGTGGGGGGAAGTCGCGGATGGCTTGTACCTTTTGGTCCAGTGGTTTGGTTCCGCTCTCCGAAATAAGATAACCTAAAAAGGTTACCTCGGGAGCACCGAAAACACACTTGGACACGTTGACGACCATGCCATAGTCCCGGAGTCTGGTGAATACTTGCCTGAGGTGGTCTTCGTGGCTGGTGTGGTCTCTGCTAAAGATCAAAAAATCATCTAAATAGCAGTAGACAAAGTCCAGGCCTCGTGTCACCTCATCGACAAAACGTTGAAAAGTTTGGCCTGCATTTCGCAGACCAAACGTCATATATGGAAATTCGAACATGCCGAAGGGTGTGGTGATGGCGGTCTTCGGTATGTCCTCCTTGCAGACCGGTATCTGGTTGTACGCCTTTTCAAGGTCAATGGTGCTGAAGACCTTGCAACCAGAGATGTTATGGGCGAAGTCATGGATGTGGCGTATTGGGTACCTGTCTGGTATGGTCCGTGCGTTGAGCTGCCTGTAATCGCCACAAGGACGCCAGCCGTTATCTTTCTTCGGCGCCAGATGCAGGGGAGACGACCACGGACTTTCGGAAGGTCGAGCTGTGCCATTGGCTACCATGGCGTCGAACTCGGCCTTCGCTATTTTCAATTTGTCCGGCGCTAGACGTCTGGGTGCAGACGAAACCGGAGGACCTGGTGTGGTGCGGATGTGGTGCTGTGTATTGTGTGGTGTGGTGCGTTGTGTACCAGCTGGTCGCGTGATCTCTGAAAAATCGCGAGAAAGCAAAAGGTGGTAACGCGATTCACCAGTGGGAACCTTTACGGAAAGCACATTGTTTAAAGCTAAAGCCAGTGAAGCTGGTGTAGAAAGAGTTGTTGTACTATCTATAAGCTGCTTATTTCTACAATCTACATTCAAGCTATAAAAGCACAAAAAGTCTACCCCTATAATGGGCTTAGTGACGTCAGCTACCACAAAACGCCAAGGATATGTACGGCGTAGACCCAGATCCAGGTTGAAGTGCGCGTAGCCGTAGGTGGAGATGGTGGTCCCGTTGGCTGCGGTGAGATGGTAGCTCGTTGGTGCACGTCGCTCTCGAAGTTGACAGCGGGGGAAAACACAGAGGTCGCTGCCTGTGTCGACCAGAAACTGCGTCTTCGTGGTGCGGTCAGTGATGAAGAGGCGACCGGGAGAGGTGAGGCAATCGTCAGTCGCCATTACCGACTGCCTGC